CAATGGCTGCTTTTGAAGGTCTCCATGGAACCAACCCGCAGGCCTTTGCGACAACAGCTCCCGCGTGGCAGCCAAAGGCAGAGCATTACTGAACTACTTGGTGCGGGTCTGTGCTTTGCCTTCTGGGGCAGTGAAGCACGTTTGGTCACCATGCAACTTGTCCAGGGCATTCTTAGGAAAAATGAGCAAGTGTATTTAAGGAGAAAATAGAGATAAAAGGAGAGATGTTTTTGAGAGTCATGGCCATGGAGTTGCTATCAGTAAGAAAAGGAGAAATTGTTTTTTTTTCTTTTAAGTTTCATTTTTCAATCACAGTTTACTTTTTCTTTTATAACATATTTTAAAAAATCACATTGACTAAAATGTGACCTGAATGTAGGCAATTTAGCCTATTTATAGCTGTGCATGTGGAGGAAGGGAAGAATAGAAGTGTGTGCCTCTGGTCATCCTACACCCTTCTTCGTTTTGCCTGAAATGCAAATATATTACATATATAATACAAATGCATGCAATATATATGGACTAATGCTGTGTCCTTTAGAGCACTTAATCCAACCTCTTCTTTACTTTTTATAAATTAGGCCCGAAGTCCCTAAACTAAATTACTTAGAAGTAAAAGTGTGGATGTTTCCCTTAGAAGTGATTTTAAAAACGGAATCACAGATCTCTAAAAGGCAAAACTATGGACACAGTCAAAGGATCAGCTGTTGCCATGGGAAGCAGGCGGAGCACAGGTGACCTTCATGGCCATAGAACTATTCTGTATGATATTTTAATGGTAGATACAAATCATTATACATTTTTCAAAACCCACAGAATTCACAACACCAAGACCAACCCCAAATGTAAACTATGGACTTTGGGTTATACTAATGCGTCAATATGGGTTCATAGATTGCAGCAAATATATCACTGTGTGAGGGATACCGATAATGGGGTTACTATGTATGTGTAGGGAGTGTCAAGGGGGATATGAGAATTTTCTGTATTTTTGCTCAAGTTTTCTGTAAATCTAAAATCGCTCTAACAAGTAAATTTTATTATTTTAAAAAATGGAATCACAAATAATTTGTTAAAACAATTTACAGTTGAAAAGAAAATCATTATTTCTGCTTTCTTATTTTAAAAATAAGAAAAACTAAAGCCCAGAGAACATAAAAAAATCCAGTTACCATGATTAAAATAGTAATATCTCAAAAGTGTTTTTAATTGTTGCAAACCTTCATGTGATTCTCCAACAGCCTTCAATTGGAATCTCTGAGTTATATAGTTTTTGTTTGGAAGTAACAAACATCTAACTCCAAGTAGCTTAAGGGTTAATGTATAAATATGGGCTTTAATGAATCTCATATGAAACCAAACTGAACCAAACAAAAAAAGACACTAATTGTAGGACCTGCATTAAGCAATACTGCACTGGAACTCATTCCCAGTGATATTTCTTCCCAGTAATTCTCATGTATATACAGGGTGGGCAAAAGTAGGTTTATAGTTGTGAGTACACAAAACAGTTTATTCTTGTATTAGTTATTTATTAATTATTGTATTAGTTATTTATATTACTGTAAACCTCCTTTTGCCCACCCCTGTATTTATCTGTGTATTGGCCTCAGACTGGTCTTCTAACCTATCTGAAAGTCATGGAATGGTGAAGACTGTTTGACTGATAGAGGCACCAAACCAACATTATAATGGCAGTGTGAATAGAGAGGAAGGTGTTAACAATTTGTGTGTGTTTTTTAACCACAGTTGTCAGAAGCTGAACTTTTAATGTAACTGTGGTCAAAGAGCAAGAATTACAAGAAAACATTGACCCTTAATTAAAACCTGAGGTTAGAATGATGGGAGAAATTCCCCTAAAAGGGGAAGTATAACATGGACACAGCAGCAGAGAACTTGTAAATATAACAGGTAAATAAATGTGTGTTTATATCCAGTAGGAAGGTGTTTCATGTCCTCATTTTTACATATGCAGGAAAAAGAAAAAATTGATACTCGGGTGTCTTTTCATATATCAGCTTTTTCCACCTCTGCATTACTTTCAATATTTTCCTATGAATTTTTTTATTTTCACATAGCTTGCCTAAGGGCAGAGAGAATATAGACTAAGTAAAATAAATACCTTTGATTTTTAAAGTTATGTGTGAAAATACAATATTTTCCAAGATATTCTATATTATTTAACATTATCAATGACCACTCCTCCTGAAAATGTTTTTTCTAATTCTAACCTTATTTCAATTATAAGTCTTTGAAAACTCCTCCTCTTATTTGCCATGTTATGCTCTTAAATATGAATACTTCTTAAGGTAGGGTTTTTGGCTCTTCATTATATATGTAAGCATCCACCTGTCCATTCACTCATTCAGTAAAACTGTATCAAGTGTCTTTATCTTTGTCAACCTCTATGCCAGGTCCTGGGAATATCTGATAATCTAAACACACATAGTTGTTCCGGCCCTCAAATATCATCTTCTACCTGAAGTCTTCCCTGGTAGACTAAGAAAATTATCATAAACCCCAGTGCCTTCTCACAACATATGTGTATAACTCATAAGGCATTTTCAGCATTCTGCCATAAAGGGAATTTCTGTAAATAATATCTTTGGTCTGACTGAATCAGAACCATATCAGGGTGGATATCTCTTAAATAATGCTTCAAGCCCACAATTCCAATTTCTGTCATTTTATTTGTCAAAGTAAAAATTGTACTGGGCAGAATTAAACCGTCAAATAAGAATTTATTCAAGACTATTGTAATAGGGAAGCAAGACTAAGCTCAATTGCAATGACACAAAGGTGGGAGGGTTTTTAAGGTCTGGTGTGACAAATGGAAAAGCACTGCGTGACAATAGAGGGAGAAGGCTGACCAGTGGGATACCTTGAGCACTTTGCGTTACCCCTGAGTTTACAACTGCATTTCTCTGTGATTAGGCTATCGGTGTTTGATAATTGGCACTCATCGACGTCAGACTCTTAACCTCCCACTGAGACTGAGGTAGGCCTGCCATGTTCTTTGAAATGTACGTTTTAAAAGGATGGTTCTCAGATCCTTCAGAAAAATATTTCTTGTGCTGTAAAACTGACAAGAGGGTGGAAAAAGACATATGTTTCAAAGGAATAGAGAAAGAATTTCAATTGCAAGTTTTCTAAAGTAAATTCAATGAGAAAAGTGAATGTCAGGGGCCTATAGTCAGGAGGAAATCTACCAGAAATTCAGTCACAGCTAAGGGGAACATTAAGGCTGCCTTGACCATATTTCTTCAGTTGACCATTTTCTCACTCTTGGGATTATCAAGAAAATCAAGACTGCCATTTCAACACAACACGACAATATTTTGTTCCCAAAATATGTGTGAGAATTAAAGGAAGGCAATTATTAGCATTTATCTTTTTACCTCTTCTGAATATTTTGAACCTTTAAATCCCTGTGAGAGAGTAGAGTGGGAGTGAGTGGGGAGGAGCAGGGTTTGGGGAGGAAAGAAGAAGGCAGGACATTATTGGTATGAACATTTCCCCAAAGAGAAAATTTAAAAACAGTTTTACAGCCAGCTTTACTTCATAGAACTCTCCCTGCAAGATTGATATGAGCTCTTTCATTTTTCAGAACAGGACAAGAGGAAAGATAAGAACAACAGAGGAAATAAAAAAAAGACATATTGAGTTTATTTTTATTTAATTTAGGTCAAGCAACACCTATCGACAAACCAATAGGCAAGAACAAATTCCAGTTTCTTTATTGAAAAGATCCTTTTTACATCTTTCTTGTGCCCAAGTCTTCTCCAAAGAAAGAAATATGTTACTTGGCTTCTTTGTCTCCTACTGGAGCATGTTTTATCAGTAATGCCAAGGGATCTCTAAAAATTTGGTCCAAGTTCACTAAAAAATTAAAGGGCCCTGATTTTGCCTCAGAATTCAATAGTTAAGGACCTTCTTAGGCAGTGGTTAGCATAGTTTTCAGTGCATTATAATCACATGGAGAGCACCACCTCAAAGAGTTATTGATTTGGTGAGTCTGAACCCCAAGAATTTGCATTTCTACAAGTTCTCAGGTGAAGCTAAGACCCATGTTTCAGGAAATGCATTTTGCTCCTGGAAACTTCACTCACTCTTTTCATATAAGGGTCAGCAAATGTTTTCTATAAAGGGCAAATATGTCAGCTTTTACCAACCAAGATGCAAAATTAAGGATGTTATGTACAGACTTAAATAGAAGAGAGAAAACAATTTTCAATAAATTTTTAATAGACAAAAATACAATAAATAATAATGGTTGCACAAGACCTAAATTGCTGGGATGAGTACACCTACACTTGAATTCCTTGTGGAATTTCGTTTGAATAAAGAATTGAATGAATAAAAGCAGCTCTCCTTCTCTTAGAACTTTATATTTATCCCTTTGCTGTGTTTGCCATGAAGAGAGTTTAATTGCCCTACTGAGAGCACTATTACTCCATGTCATCTCAAATTGTCATCTCATAGGAATTGGTAAATGCATACAAGAATCATTAGGCAAGACAGGGCTGAAAGGCTTCACCTTTGAAAGGTAGAAAGAACTCATGTCTTTTTAAAGAAAGAATTAGGCTACACATTTAGAGATTTTGATGTGGAGCAAAAGGATATATAAAGTAAACCCTGATTATTATATTAAACTTAGCAATACAGTCACATACATGTATTTAGAGAGGAAGCTGAACAACTGAGATAAATAGTATAAATGTCTGGGCTACAAAATGCCATAATGAGGTGATAAGCACAATTAGAGTCTGTTCCCTTGCTTAATTAATATGTTCATCCTTCTGAAGTACGAAGAAATTGAGCAATGAATAGACAAAATAGAGACTGAAACAATTTTTATTGATGCAAACTGATGTTTATAATTTAAAGGGGCATATTTTTATTGAACACTACAAATGTTCTCTTTTTACCTCCTTTGGAGTTAAGAAAATGTATCTCTGTTCCAAACGTTGAAGCTCAGCAGAACTTCTCTTGTCCAGAGTTTATATGCAGCACTGATTTCTCCATCTGATGCAGTATCCATAATCATATTCGTCGTCATCACAAAATGTTTTACATAATCCTTTCACTTTTTGGCATCTCTCAAGTCTAAACTTTGGTTGTTCTATCTCACTTCTGGCTGCAATAAAGAAAGATAAAGTTATCAATCCAGTTTTTCATTTGGGGATCTTCCTACCAAGGGGAGAAAAACTACCTGTTCTAAGTCATGAGATCAAATGAAGATTTTGAGATGTCAGGCTGTTTCAGAGCATGATTTTATCACTTGTTTCAGAAAGTGACCAAGCCACAAACATTTTACTTGCACAAAATGTATATGTCCTTATCTTATATTTCACAACAGTACTGAAATTCAGCTGGTTCCTAGGGCCTCTTGCCCTCCCATCTTTTTAACTTACTATAGTACTTACTCTCCCATGCTTTCTTTAAGATGATGTTTATAGTACTTTAAACACATGTAATTTTCATTTGCATATGTTCTCAGTTTTTAAAGCTACTCTTATTGCCTCTTCAGAGAGCCGTTTGCTCAATGCTTTCTTCTCCATTCCAGATCTCACTCTTAATTGAAATATTATTTCATTATATACTGTAACAAATGGATATATCCTTTTTGCCAGTCTACAAGTAATAAATGAATAACATAATTTAGTACTAAATTATATGTATTTTTCTTAAACATTTGTCATACTTTTTTTCTTGCAGCCAAAATAGAATCTCTCTCTTACATGTTAGTTATGATTTATCCTGACTCTTTGCTATCTCCTACCCAGTATAGCCCAGTACTTGTAACACAGTAGGAATGAAGATACTTACTGATAACTTATCGAGGAGACTAAACCATTTTAGACATACACATATATACATTAAGTACTTAGTAAAAAGAGGAGCCCCGTGTTAGGCTTAGTTTGTTGTGAATCAACTAATACAATGCAAAGAAGGATGTTCTGAGATTCCAAACTCACAGCTTTGTGTTTGTACATTAAACTATAGTAAATGGAAGAAAATATTTTTGTTACTTTAAGATTTTATTTCTTTTAATGATTCGTTTGTGACCAATAGCTTTAAATAAAGATACTTTGAAGTCAGGATTATTTATTTCTCCCCAGATTTTATCACAGTGTTCACTTATCTTGGATAAGTCATTCTACTTGTCTACATGACAGAATACAACAAACATAGCTGTCACAAATATATTTTGAATATCAAATTTTGCATGTCAGAAAAAAAAATGAAGGAAAAAATTTCATTAAAATGTGGAGAATGAATTAAATTGAATTTAGATTAAAATTATATAATGTCAACTCACAGAACCTAATTGCCAGCCCAGTACCTAACTGAAATTCAGAATGGTTTCATCTCAATTTCATGTGTCTGCTATTTATTTGAGTATCTAATTTTCTCCAAGTATTAGGTTGGGAACTGGACAGAGACTTCAAATGTATAGAATGTAGATACTTTATTATTAATGTTAATAAAGTTAGCAGAAAAGAGAAGGAAGTTAAGCTTAAAGTGCAAGAAACTGTCAGATGGGTTTTGACATGTGAATATATGTATCTCCTGTGGGAATGGGAAACTAATTCGTGATGACAGAATCCCTGGCCACTGGTGAATTTTGGTGAAAGCTAAAGTTATCTCAGAACCATACTTGATATAATTTAAAGTAGGAAAAATTGTGATGTATTATTTAACTTTTAAAAAAAAACTTTTGCTGGGATAAGTACTTTTTAAGCTAATCAACATTCCTAACACCTTACTATCTTGTCAACTCACCAAATCCATGTTGAGTTTTAAGACATGTTAAATTCAGAAAAGAGAAGTATGGATTTATAATGATTACTGGTAACATTAAAAATATACTAATATTCTTTTTATTTTCTCATTATTTCAAATGATAGAAATGTTTTAAATCATAAAGAAATCTACAGAACTGTATCATCTGGAAACAAAAAGCATGTGTTGTAAAATTGGTTCTATCACTTCTTAGTTCTTTGCAAAAATGTATCACTTTAGATTCACAGCTATGCCATGTGAAAATTACGAATAGCACAACCTCATAGTGTTTTTGCGGAGTTGATTAGGTAATATGTTATAAGCTGTACAAGGCTATAAGAATGCCACCCATGGGTGCATAAGTATCTATGTGAGGTGATTAAAACTAGTTAGCATATAACACACAAAGGCAAAAAGAAATGACTCTTTGGAGGAAGGATACATAGCATCTCTTTCACCTACTAATACCTCTGTACTTTTTCAATATCACTGGAGAAATGAGGCCTGTGCTAACTAATTTTCACATAAAGAGATAAATGCAAACACTTGTGTGGGACCCTATAAGGGATGTATATTCCAGAAAGGTTTCTGGGAGTCTGGGCTAGAATGAAGTGAACTATGGAGGGAATATACTGTGGACAGCAGCCTGTAACAGGTCCTACACGCACAAGCACTGGGGCGACTCCATTAGGAAACCCATACAGTTAACTCAATGTTAGTTTTCCCAAGCTTTGTGGGGAGTTTTCCATCTTCCCAGGAGAAATGTCTGGCATATAACTCCCCATCTCTTAAGAAATTAATTATCTGCAGGTGACTTCTTTGCCTACCTCATGATACTCCCTGCAAATAGGGAGGCAGAGTTGAATGCAGGAGAAGGTATGTTTAGAAGATGTCTACTTTTACTGTGTCCAAGTGGAAATCAAGGTAGGAGCCAGGCCATGGGTCAATGGAAGTTTGTATAATTTGCCTGAAAGGGTATGATCTTAGAGAATCAGATGCTACTGGGTTTCAATCCTGTATGCTCTACTTATTAGCTATGATATATTGGACAAATGATTTAGTTCATTCTATTTCAATTTTCTCATGAAATTGAGGTTCTTGTGTAGTTTTAAAAGCTATAATGGGAAAAATATGTAAACTCGTACAGTGTTAAAAAATAAGCCTTCAAAATCAGGCCATTTGCATACCCATTGTTTTCACTTTCCTTTGGATTTCGACTAAAAACGGACCCCAGGTGAAGCACTACTATACGTACTTATGACACTCTAGTGGAAGCAAAATTCTCTAGTCTTAAATCACTAGATCAGGTCTGCTGTCTGCCTTGTTCACTGATTTATTTCAGCATGTAGCAAAACAACATACTCAATAAATGTGCAAATAACTGACAACATGACTGAGTGAATGAACATGTTATCACGGATAAGAATCTAAGTGGTGTTATGAACTGAAAAAACTCTCTGGGCTTTGTTACAACCTCTCCATCAGTTATTCCCCATGTCAGCTGAGCAAATGACTTAACCTCTATATCAGTTTCTTCAACTGTAATACATGTTTAATAATAAATGCCTGCTTTAGAGTGCTGTGTGGCATCCAGTGAGACAATAGATGTAGAAATAGTCTGTAGCCCACAGTTAGTAAAGTAAGGTTCCATTGTCATCAGCATGAGTGACTTATAGATTTGTGGCACACTTTTACAAATAACCCTTTACTAACTCACTGATTTTTCTTCATTTTCACTTTTAAATTAAGAGAATGCCTTCTCTTGTGATCCCTAAAATGCACACACTTCAGTAAGCAACTATGTTGTCCTCAACCCTGTGCTGAGAATGGTTGGAAAAAGAAATGAAATAACTAAGCGCCTTACCCCCAAAAGGCAGTCAATGTTTGTTGGGAAGTGGAAAAATACAGTATCACTTGTGAAGGCAGTTCTGAGATATATATAAAATGTCATCTCAGCATATAAAAAGAGCTGTAAACTCTTCCTGAAAGAGTCTATTTTACTATTATTACTACTACAGCTTCTGCCACCACAGTCATTATTAACAGCTATGCTTACTTAAGTGTTCATTAGGTTTCAGGTTCTTTACTGAGACAATTATACTTATTATCTGATTTAATGCTATAAGCACCTTATAAATAGGTATCACTATTCTCATTTCACCCATAAGAATAAGTGAGGTTAAGAAGCCTGTACAAGGTGTCAGAGGGACTAGAGGAGGGGGGATTCAAAGTCAGGCATGTTGGACTCTGAACTCCTGTGTGTTCAATCACTTCACTGAGCATGTGACTTTCAGTTGCATCTCGAAAAGTCAATAGCATATTTTCAAGGAATTGAGGGAAAACCTAAACATTTCTAAAGTAGCTTGAAAGAATGTGTGATCGATGAAGAATGGTGTGACTTTTAGCATGACTGAAGTGACATGGACATGGGCCTCTGAAAGTCAGCAAAGTCAAATTAGGCACACATGGCAAAAGATCTATAAAGCTGAGGAGTTGGGTTTTATGATAGAGTGGAGAAACGGTAAAGATTTTAACACCATTTTCTCAAAAAATTTGGAGCAGAGATGCTATGCGGAGGGTTGTTAGAACATTCTAAATAAGAAATATCGAGAAAGATAATTCAGTCAATGAGATTTCAGATAAGAAGGAGAAAGTGAACTTAGGAAACAGTTATGAAGTAGAAGCAGCCCAGTTAACTCTTGGGTTTGGGGGAAGAGTACTGGGAAATAAAGCAGCAATGAGGTCAGGTGTTTTAGCCCATGATACCATGTGGTTGAGAGTAACAATCAGTGAAATAGAGTCAAAGGAAGGGGACAGGCTTTAGCCTTTGTAAGATAAGTTCTATTTTGGACGTATCAGGATTAAAGAATTTGGAGGCCAGCCTGATAAGTAAGTTCCATACCTAGTAATAAACACAGCTTTGTGGTTTGGGAAGGAGATTGAAAAGAAAATATATGCTGATTGCAGAAGATGTTGTGGTAAACAAGATAATCTCAAGAAAGCATATAAAGCAAGAAGAAAAGGGACTCAGGGACAAAACACTAGTGGTCACTGCATTTAAGAGACTATCAAAAATGGAGAAGTCAAATAATAATTGTGAAACTAGTGACCAACTAAAGCAGTGTTCAGAAGTCCAGCAAGATGAAGGATTAAAACAGGCCTCTGGGTTTGATTTTAGGAAAATGTTTGTAACATTAGCAAGAAGGTTTTCAATTAATTGCTGTGGGTGAGTGTACTGGGGAGAAGACTGTATAAGATTTGATAGAGTGTGGACAACGCACCTAGGCTGCTTTTCAAGATGTTTGGTAAAGAATATATCAAAGCAGATCAGAAAGCGGCTTGAAGGGAAAAAAATCGCCTATGAAATCTAACTCTACTTATAACACATCTAATCCCCTCCATTCCTCATTGCTTTTACTGTTAACACCTTGGACTGAGCTACCAAAATGTATTGCTTACATCATTTCGATACATCCTAACTCATGAAAGCACTTTGGAGAAGTCTTTTTAAAACAAAATTCACATCATGTTTTCCTTTTGGCTAAAACTCATTGGATTTCTCTCAGAATAAAAGGCAAGGTCCTTCCTAGTTCCTAAAAGCTCTGGGTAATCTGTCAGCATATCCCCTTTGTTACCAGCTGTCCTCCCCAGTCTCCATTCACCAGCCACTCTTGCCTCTCAGGCATTCCTCACTTCTATGCCTCTTCCATTATTTTGCTCAAATGTCACCTTTTTAATAAGGGGTCCCTGAAAAATATTATTTAAAATTATTACAGTCCATCATTTTTGGGTCCTTTAATTCTATTTGATTTATTTTCTAATGTAATTTGCTTATTTATTATGTTTACTGTTTTATTTATCACCACACCTAGAATATGAGCTTCACAAAGTCAGAGAGTAATGTCTGCTTTTTTTATTGATATATCCAGTCTTATATTACGGCTAACACATTTAGGTTCTCAATGAGTACTTACTGAACTGGTGAATAAATGAGAGAAAGGGTGTGAAATACAGTGTCTAACTCACGTACTATCAGTGTTATGAATTGACATTGATCTTCTTGGGGGCAGATCCTATGTCTTATTAATTTTTTAAGTCTATTGAATTGGAGAGTACTGAGAGCTCAGTTTGTGATCAATAACTATCAGTTCCTTGAGACAGGAGCTATAATTTTTTTATCTTCAAATCCAAACCCATGACATTAAGTCTGGGAGGAAGTAGGCCATTAATCAAATGTTGTTTGAATAAATAAATTACTCATTGGAATCAGATACTGTTCTTGCCCAAGGACATTGAGGTGAAATAAACCCTGAAACAGGTTGGATTTGAATACTTGGAGTCAGGTTGAATTCTAATTCTCCTCCTAGTCCTGTGTGGGTTTGATAGTGATATACCTCATTTCATCATAAGGCTTTTAACAGATTCAGGTGTGTTTTGTATAAATAACAACATAAATATTGTGTCCAACACCTGGTGGTGTCTAGTTCATTAAGGTCAATGCTACTGAAGACTTACAGAAAACTAAAAATGAAAAAAAATACATATTACCATGGAAATTTAGATTGTGAGCTGAAGGAAGGAAAAATGCAAGTGAGTTTAACATTACCTAGCTGTTTTGTCAATCAGTGCAATGAAAATTACAGTGTCTGAGCAAGAAAGTTGCCAGAAATCTTCCCTTTTATAAGTATTTCATCAAAGGGGTTTCTAGAAATTTCAGTGGGTATTATCACACGCAGCAGTTAAAAGATTTCTTCAGGGGATGATATTAATTTCATAGTTGATGTTCATAGATTTACATTCTCCTTCAAGTTTGTCACATTTGTCCCTTGGATGAAGGCTGAGGCTTGTGGCTTGATTATACACTGGACTATACAAGGAGAGACTGGCTTAGAAATTTAGGTGTTTCTTCTCTCTCTGTCAAACACAGAAGCATGGAGGGTCTACCAGTACAGTCTAGTTCACATGCAGAGGCCTTGAGTGTCTTCTAGAACACCTCTTACCATTTACCACTACTCTGTGGCCACTGAAAAACTCAGTTCTTATTTGCCCCATATCTATAGTATATTAGGCTTCTCAATTCTACTTTATAGGTTTTGATGTAATGATAGCCCAGTGTCTGCTTAAGTAGAATAAATAAAAATCAAACTTTTACTAATCTCCTTTTCAATATGACTAATATATTTATTGTCCAAAGGTTAGGCTAATTTTTTTTTGGAGTCAGCAATATACCATTTGTGGTCCATATATAATGACATATGAAAATTTCAAATATAAATTTATTCTCACAAGACACAGAAAATATATTGACTACCTGAAAACGTTACTGATTTTTGTGTGTGAATGAATGCTTAATTATAAACCAGGGGTTCTAACCCAGGCCCCTCAAAGAGGATATTGGCAATGTAGGTAGATATTTTTGATTGTCACAGTCAGTAGGAGTGTAATTGGCATCTGATGGGTAAAGGCTAGGGATGCAGAGATGCATCCTGCAGCTAAAGACACAATGCACAACTCACAACAACGAACTGTCTGTACCAAACTGTCTGAGGTTGAGGAGCATTGTCTAAATGAATAGTGTAAAACTACTCTTGGAGATATTTATACTACAAGGGAACACATTAAGCAGTCAAAGTTTAAATTATTAAAATATGTGAAAGATAATGCATGTAAGGCTCCAATATATGCTTAGCAAGTAATTGTTTCATAATGGGAACTCATATGTTTATTAAAATAAAACTCTAAAAATTAAATAATATCTTGTGATAGAAATATATCTAGAAACTTTATCAAAATAGAAAAATATTCTCTCCCGGTGTATATCACTGTAATAGATAACGGTTAGTATGAACATAGATCCTTACATCTCATATCTGCATTTAGAAAATGGAATGAGATATCATAAAAAAAATATCAAGAGAGTAGCTGGGGCCTGGAAATTCTCCGACTTCTTATCTGAGTTCAAATTCGATCCACGTGTATACACTCAATAAATTTCATTTTTCTTTAAAGTACAAAAAATAAATTATTCAATTTTATTTTAGGGGGAAGAAAGTTTCTGTTTCTATTGCTATGCTGTGGTATAGATCATTTTTTAAACTCTTAATTAATACAAATTACTAAATTGTATTTCTAAACTCAAAAAAAGAAGCAAATTTTTCATTTTTGAAGAGAAACTGCATGATACAGAGTTATAGTTGAGAGAATTGTGGAGAAAATACTGTAGACTTCCCAGAAAGTAGTAGTAAGAGGAACTCCAGCAGAGTGGAGCTGAAGAGTGAAGATGACCCCTCCTTTCTTCTGCTATTTCCTCAGCCAGGTCATCTCCCATGCCTGAGGCGGTCAATTCAGCTTTTAGCAGAAGTTTCTGACTCCCTCTGTCAGAATAGCTAATTACACACAGCCTCTTCACTTTTATGAAACTCTCCTCTTTCTTTCTTACTTCCTCCACTATTTACTGATACATATTTTCCCCCCCACTAAATAATACATAAGAATAGAAATTGGAGTTTGTCGTGATTTTCTTCTGCTTTTTTGTTCTCATTTTCTCATTTAGCTCTGTTTCTTGCATATACAGGATCTGCACTCCCAATGTCTAGTCTTTCAGGTCCAGTGAATTTATATTTTTCCATGGGATTATCTATTGAGCAATGTTTAATAATATAACAGCACATTTCTACTGCAAGCTTGTGTCTCAGAAATTTGCTCCTTCCATGTCTTTGAGCTAGGGTTTCTGCAAACATTACTTATGCCTACTCACACAAGGCACATAGAACTTTGAATAGCTGTTGAGGAACTTCTCAGAATAAATTCTGCTTACTCTGGTGCCAAGAGATCAAGAGAAAATGCAATGTAAAGGCACCAGATAAGTGTATGACATAGAATCACTTCTGAATGGTTCAGTATTCAATTTTATTTAAGTCTTTGTATATTACAGAGATACACAGGCCTTGAAGGGTGTGCTGGGAAGCCTTAGTAGCTCTGGTCCTCTTTTCTTGGACCATGTGTCTCTTTCTTTTCTTCTGTCATATTTAATTCTGGAAGCAGCAATGAGATCCAGGCCTTATGCAGGGACCAATCCTAATTTCATATTCATGGCACTCAACTTTACACCGACCATTACTCTTTCTGCAATCTTTCCTCATATCCACGCTACCATATTGGGGATATCTCTTTCTGGCTGTAAGAAGGAAAGAATGACTGAGATTAGCAACCTAGTTATGACGCACCCATATTTAAAAAGGAGAAAGTGCAGGAAGTGAAAGATCAAAGAACAGGGCAAAAGAAAAAGCTCCCCTTCTGATTTACTTCTGTGAAAGTTCTATTGAGGAAAGGCGAAGTGAATGTACTGTCCCTTGGTGCGAGACCAGTCCTGGAAAACCAGAAAGTTTTCTGGGACCTAAGTGAGGTGTGCCAGTTTGCTGCCTTACAAGTTACTACGTAGTAATTCAAGGGTAGTTCCCCAAAGGAAAAAACGTTTTCATATCTTATCTTCTGTCAAGTTTAGTCTCTACAATTATCTAATTGTATTGGGGTTCCACCTTTTCTGCTTTCGCAAACATTATTTAGATGAAACATGGTGCTTAATGAGTTCTTCAAGAGATTGCTACTGCAGTTTGATTTTACTTTTCTAAAACGTCGAGAGAGAGGGAGAGAAAAGCAATGTTAGACAATTTGTCTGACTTCCTATGACTTCCCTGGGTATTATGGGTTTTAATAATTTGAAGAAATGATCTAACCTGGACACATGTCAGCTAACAGCATTGATATAAAAAAATAGGAATGTCTAGAATATGTGGTTATTGTTGGCCATGGCACGATTTCTTAAATTACCAGGGTTACCAAGCACATGTTTGTCTCGTAGCATGGAGATTGACGCTCACTACAAGTTTATTATTTAGGATAGTGTAAGATCACTTGGGAAATTGGGGGATGTTGGTCTGATAGGCTGTAAGATCCATTCCAAGCCAAATATATTTTAATTTATATTTAACATTATATGTCAGCCCATGTGTTTGCAAAAACCTTTTGTTTTAGAGTCTTTTTATACACATCACTTTTTACTCATATGGTGAGATATAGGGCAACTGATGTGGAAGAATTCTAAATTTTGCAGGTGTCTGACAAAAGGGCAGACTCAAATTTTTTTATATTTGTGGTATGAAAGCAAATAGGTTTTACAACTAGTTTCAGTTAATTATAGTTTTGTGCCCCAATCAGTCCCGTTAAAGGCCAGGCCTTTCTTGCTAGACATTCTCTCTGCATTTCCAACAGTTGGTGGTGAGTCACGATACTTATTAGTGAATTCATATTGTTGTTATAAATAGCTGATATAAAACCTAGCTCTTCCATTAAAATTAGCTCTCTTCTCACTATGGCTGAAACAGTGCAGAATATGGCTTATAGCAGAAAAAAATAAAATAGTTACTCTGCACGGGGTTATTATCAAACCCATATGTAATTTGCTGGTGACAGAAACCTGAATTACACTCACTTTAGACAGAGTTCTGTCACATTCAACACTATTGTTCACTATTCACTATTGTCCAATTGACCCCACCCCTTCTCTTATTAGTTCTTTGTCTTAGTTCACCTTTCCAAAATTATTGTTTTCTTCCTTCTCATTTTGTCTTCTCAATATAAGTATTCCACAAACTTGTGTCTTAGGATCACTAATATTCATCTTTGCAAGCACCCATCCATTCATTCAACTATTAAGGACAGTTGACCCTTAAACAAAGCAGGGCTTAGGGGCACCAACCCCTACAAAATAAAAAATCTAAATATAACTTTTAATTCCCCCAATTAGTAGCTATTATTAACTACTAATAGCCTCCTCTTGACTGGAAACTCTACCAATAACACAAACAGCCAATTAACACATATTTTGGATGTTATATGTATTATATACTGTATTCTTACAATAAAGTAAGCTAGAGAAAAAGAAGCATTATTAAGAAAATCATAAGGATGAGAAAATGCATTTATAGTATTTATTGAAAAAATATATTAATAAGTGGGCTCACACGGTTCAAACCTGTGTTGTTCAAGGTTCAACTGTACACTCCTTGTTAAGCTCTATGCCAGTCTCTACAGCAGGGTTTCTCACCCTGGGCACTAATGATCTTTGGGTTGGACAAGTCTTTGCTGTGGAATGCTATCCTGTTCACTGAAGGATGTTTATCAATGGCCTCTTTCCACTAGATACCAGCAGTACCAGTTGTGACAACCTAAAAGGTCTCCAGACATTGCCTAATATCTCGTGGGGGGCAAAGCTGACTCTAGTTGAAAACCACTGTTTGTGTGCTGCTGTGATAAGCCAAACATACATTGTGTCTACCCTCAGATATGTTGTTCAAGCACAATCTTCTCTATGAAGTCTATGCTGACCACTTTCAAGAAAGTAATCTCTCTTTTCATTGTTCTCATATGTGACACTCATATTACATACTAGAGGATTTCTTTAAAACAATATATAAAATCCTACTTAATATATAAGCTAAAAATGAGCTAGATAATTCCTAAAATCTTTTTAACCCATCATTTCTTACTTTCACTCATCTGCTATTTTATTCCTTGGGCTACCATTCACTTCCTGGGGTACGGGGGAGATCATGACCACCCTTCAGCACAAAACTATACTATCTATCCTATAATCAAAATACATACCATATTTAAAGAAAAGTGGTTGTTGGCAATAGTGCATTTTTAAATTTGGCAGAGAAAGTGAAACAACAGGTAAGAATAAAATAATACCTCCTTTCTAGACATTCAGTGCATTTATAAACTCTAGAAAACGAAGAGGAAATCTAAGTGACTTCACTGGGTCTGTCCCGGCATAGAAAATTTAAGGACTTTTATCTAGACATTTTTTCATCTTAACTGTCTTAACTGGGAACAAGTTTTTCTACCTCAATTTTGAGTAAGAACTTTCACCAGCTGGAGGTGAGGTATAAACAACAGCTGAGGAATCCTAAAAGATTGTCATACAAATTACACTTGATTTTATTCTGTTTAGTTCTACTACCTTATGTTGGTAAACTAACTATAAGATAAAATACACAATTCTTATTGTTTTATTATTTTATAAAATGTCTATATTCCATATTACATTTCTTACATAATTTTGTGGAAAGAATCTGTATCTTGACATATTTATTTTACTTTGAGATTCTTTTATCCAATAATGGTAATTTTCTCAAAGTTTTGCACATGTGTAATTAACAAGGACATTAATTTCAATTTGTAAATATAATAAAAATATACAAATAGTTAATATTAATATTCTAATCTCTGTCACTATATCCCCAAAGTGGTTTGTAATTTCTAAGTTTACAGGACACATACATTGTTTAATTTATTGATAAATGCATGAATAAATTTAGTTATTAGTAGGGACACTAATATTAGCTACTGTTAAAATTAAAAGGAAAGATTTATCCTATGTTAATAGAATTTTATTTTGGCTTTTTCTAGAGCTGGAAAAAAATCTAGAGATCTTTTTCTAACAATTTTTTAATGAAGGAAAGGAATTTATTTTATTAGCTAAATTAACAACAGCCTTATTTTGTTACTTTATTAGTGCTTGACCTCTGTTTAGAATTTTATCCACTTCAGTCTTTAAATGATAATTTATCAGTTTATTATGTATAAATTTTTAGATTATCATGATTATTTCTCTAATGTTCACAATGTAAGATAAGTTAATTTAGTCTCCTAGGCCTCAGTTATGACTTCTATTGGGCCTAAAAAATCATCCAGCTACTAAAAATAAATATTTTCCTTCTGGTTAGTGAATTTGAGCCTGATTGCAGTGCCAGCATCATAAACTGAGTAGACTTGAGCATGTCCTTTCACGTAAGCTCTTTAAGAAGAGTTTAAAGATCATAGATTCAATGGTTGCTCCATCTCCAAAATTTATTATTCTATTTCTGTACAATTAATACTTACACATTAATTCAAAAGAAGAGAATGTTGCTACATACCTGATGTAAGGAGGTAGTCCTTAAGGGGGAAAAGTTCTCATGAAAAATAGAGCTCATATACAAGGTCTTACACTCAACATTCATGTGATCTGATAGCACTCAAATACATAAGAATAGTGACTAAAAATATTTAAAGAAAAGTCAAGAAGGGACATGATTTGTTGATAGTACCAAAAACAGATTATTAAGAAGGGCTTTCTACTAAATGGAAGTACTATGCTAATTTAGGTTTAAAAAAACAGAAAAAGTAAATAGATTGTTGCCTAACAATGAACCAGTTGATTATGCTAAAGAATATTTTTCCAGCAAGAAAATATTTTAATTATTGTGGTATGAAGGTGATGATCTTATATATTTTTTAACATTTCATCTTGAAATCATTTTAGATTTATAGAAGAGTTACAAAAATAATAGAGGCCAACTTCTCCTATGGTAACATCTCACTTAACTATGCCACATTTATCAAAACTAAGAAGATATTATTGGTATAATACTACAGTCTTCACTAACTAAACTACACTACACAAACTAAACTACAGTCTTCATTTACATTTCACCTGTTTTCCCACTATTGACCCCTTTTTTTCTGTTCTACGGTTCACTCTAAAGTATCACAATGCTTTTGGTATAAAAAATGCTTTAATCCCTATTTTATTACCATACTTTTAACAAGAAATAACTGATGTATCCTCAAATTCATTAGCACAAATATACCCATAAACATTTCTGTTACCTGGTGAAATTGTCACCCAAAAAAGCAGAATTAAGAAAAAGAGATGAATCTTCATGGTAGAGAGTTTCTTAGGCAAAAAGTGTCAACAGATCGTTTTCAAGTCAGAGTTTTCACATAAAAAAACAGAGAACACTTTTTTATTTATAGATACTCCTGGGAAGTGATTCAAACTACTGAGGCTTATCGATAGCAAGAACATTTGTATGCTTGATTGAATTGTGCCATGTTGAAAGAACATGGTCACAAAAATTGTTATTAAATTTTCTCATTAAAGTAACAACTGATTATGTTACCTTAGATATACTTTCATGAGAACACAATCTTTAAGGGGCATTTGAAGGATATGGGTTTGGATTGCTAAAACATCACAATGAAAATGTTGCAGAAATGCAATCCTCTCTTGTATACTACATATAATGCTAAATATTTTAGTGCTCTTATTATTAAATTAATGAATGTCTGAATCAATATAATAGGATTTTATTGCAAAAAAATTCCATCGAGATTACTTTTGTTTAGAGATCGAAACAATGAGAACCAGGGAGGTTGAATTATTTATTTCAATTCAGATAGCATGTAATTGCTTAAATGTGACATGATCAGGAAATGTTGGATTCACTAATGAGTATGAGAAATACTTTACACAGTAAGTTTTTAAGGATGACATACATTTCTTATAATAAATTACCTGATTTTACAATTCTGCACCCAATGTTTTTAATTCTGTTTATGGAACTGGAAAGTGATTTCTGATCCAATTTGCATATTGCCAAAGTCTATTGTTTCAGATACATGCAGAGAGCTGTAAGTTTTACATGGTATCCAGAAGCTGAAGCTGTAGTCAGAGAACAATTGATCAGTTATCTCCCACCACAGAGTCATGAGAATTTCTAGGACAGTGGTTCTTAAACATTAGCTACAGCATTATCCCCTAGAGGGCTTGTTAAAAACAGGCCACAAGACCCCACCCTCAGCATTTCTGATTAAGTAAGTCTAGAACAGAGTTTAGTATTTTGCATTTCTAACAAGACCCTGAAATGCTAATATTGCTAACGTATTATATATTATTCTAAGAAATCAGATTCATTCATTCTCTAAAACATCAGAAAAAGGAATTACAGAGTTAAAGAATCTATGTCATAGGTTAGTAAAGAATGCGAGACTTCTTTAGAGATTCTAATCAAATACACTCATATTACTGGTGAGGGAATTTAAATCAAGAGAGATTAACTTTCCTAACAATTGTTATCTTTTACAAAAAAAAATATTTCAAATTATAAAATACAAATGGAAACTTTGGACTTAAATAAAATGTGAGGACCTTGATTTAGCTTTGCTTACTTCTGGGAAATGGAAAAAAAAAAAAAAAGAGAGAGAATTCAGCATCAGCTGATAGGGAGGAGGAAGACCTCTTCAATACATCATTATATAGCATTTATTCACCAAATATTTATTGAACACTTAAATTTTCCAAGCAGGAATTTGCTGCAAGCCGATGGCATTTTGGAAGGAAAAAACCAAAGTTTAAATATTAACCTGGACGCCCTGGTTAGGTAGCTTAGTTGGTTAGAGCATTCGGTTCAATCCCTGGCCAGGGCACATACAAGAATCAACTAATTAATGCATAAATAAGTGGAACAACAAATCAATAACTCTCTCCTCCCTCTCTCTCTCAAAAAACAAAAAGAAGTCAATAAAAAAATTAACCTGGAGGTGACATCAACCAAAATGATGGGGTAAGGACTCTGAGAATCTGTCCCTTCAAAATAGCGATGGAAAAACTGGTGAAAACTGCCAGAACTCTGGAAATAAACTGAAGGTTTGCAACAACTCACAGAGTACTAATGCAAGAAAAATTGCCCAATCTCTAAGAAGAGTGAACTTTGTAATGTTTTATAATATTCTAGTCCCAGCCCCTATTCCTCAGCTCAGTAGAAACTTTGAAAAATAATGCCCAGCCTGGCCAGGTGAGACTCAGTGCTTGAGCATTGGCCTAGGATCCAGGAGATCGTGGTTCAATTCCCAGTCAGGGCACATGCCTGGGTTGTGCGCTCCATCCCCAGTGGGGGGGCGTGCAGGAGGCAGCTGATCAATGACTCTCTCATCATTAATGTTTCTCTCTCTCTCTCTCTCTCTCTCTCTCTCCCTCTTCCTTCCTCTCTCTGAAATCAATAAAGATATATATTTTAAAATAATAATAATATTAATGGCCCCCATTCATGGTACCAGGTGGAGCAGAACATGGCTAGAGTTCTTCAAATTCTCATTCCCAAAGAACTGTCATAGTTTATCCTGTAAGATGGTTTCCTGGAAGACCCCATTTAAAGGCTTATCTTTGTTTCCTGACCCAGATCATGTGAAGTATTAAAGACATTCCCAAGGTGGAGTCTTCAAAAAGATTTACAGGCAAATGTTTTAGTTCCTATTATCTGAGGTTGTGGAAAACACACTTAGGTCAAATAATAGACAAACCAAAAAGTTTGGAAGGAAAGGATAAGAAAGAAGATATGTGTAGAGGCTTTGAAATTCTGACATATTCCTGAGAACCTAGAAGGCCATTTGCATGATTAAATGTAGAAATGTGCACACTTCCAGGTGCATATGCATGCTCTGGAAAGACCTGAGAAGGACCCAAGCTCTCCCTTACCAGTTTGAACCCTTAATGGTAATACTTGTCTCAGTTGAGTGTTGCTGCACATATCTATTCACAGTTATAATGAACAAGAAAATACCACAGGGGTTCTCCACATTCTATATTCTTCAGTTTTCATGCATTTGTTCTGGGTCACTCATGAGGGGCATCTGCTTTCACCATGCCAATGAGCTGAAACCACCTGAATCTAGAGTCTTTCATGACTTAATCTCAAAGTTGTTTCTGAAAACACCATGCCAGGGTAGAACAATTGAAAGCTTGTTTTTAAATATTATGCTTCCTCCAAATTTTTGGACTGCCTCAGGTTTGCCATGATCTACTTGTAGCCACTAGATTCATGGCAAATGGAAGTGGTTCTTGGAACTGTACTGCCATAGAATCAACTCTCTGTGAGAGTGTGTATGAAATCACTGAAGGAGAATTGCAGTGCAAGTTCACTATGCAACTTCATGACAGTTATTTCTGAATTGTTCAAGCTTTAATATTAAATTTTCTTTCCTTATTCATTACAAAGATGCATGAGCAGATGTTCTCACCTCTGAATGATGCCATGAAATGACCCTATCATAGCCTCATATATATCTTTGTTTCATTCTGTTTATAATACTCATATAATAGCTTACAAAAGAGGTCACAGATCCAATGCAGAAATAAATCTTCACTTTTATTTGCAGATCCTTTCACCCTCACCATGACAAGTTCCATAATTCATAGTCATAACTATATTGCTGTGACACTTTTTTTATGTCTGGCTGCTGGAAGGAAAGAGGAGTGGGAATTGTAATCCAGCTGTGCCAAATAAAGTGTCCTAAACAGTGTGAATTTAGATCAGGGGTCAGGAAATGGCTCTCAGGCCAAATTCAGCCACTGAAGGTTTTGTAAATAAAGTGTTATTGAACACAGTCACATCCATTTGTTTCTGTGTTGTCTATGGCTGCTTCTGTCCATAACATAGTTAACTGCAACAGAGATAATAGTGGCCTGCAAAACCCAAAATGTTTACTATTTGATATTTTGTCTTTACAAAAAGTTTGCCAAAGCTTGCAAATGACTGCACACCCCAAGATTACAACTTTGATTCTTTCTTTCTTTATTTAAATTTTATTTTTTATTTTTATTAAATGTATTGGGGTGATGTTGATTAATAGGATCATAACTTTGATTCTTAACTCTTTGTTTTTCCTTCTTAAATTCCTCTTTCATTTATTAATTCACCAATTACTTATTAAGGATCTACCAAATGTCAAGTTTGGCCTCAGGAACCACGGAGGACATAAACAACAGAGTCCATGACCCTTCCTCCAGTATTATCTCTTCGGGGAAAAATTTCCCAGGACTTTCTCACAAGCATGGCCACTTCTGCCTTTGCCTTTCCTTAGCTCTTTATTTGTTTCAGTCATTGTGTTTTATATCATCCTGTCTTGGTTAGGAATTCTGTGAACAATATTCTAAACCTGGATTGAAAACAGGGTCCATGATGGGTAAAATTATCACAACCTTCAATTCTGATTTTGTCACTCATCTATGTTTTCTCCTTCAGGCTTCATAATTACAATGTTCTTGAAATGGATCAGAAAATTGCGAAAAGCTTTTCAACACAACACTACCTTATGCTGATACAAAATATATATCAATATTATACAAAACTTTTATGGGTATTTGGGAATTTTGCAAGGTGAGAATAAATATTAAATTAAAATTTCATTTCTAAACATATTGGCACAAGACAGATATTTACGGTATTTTTAAAATTTTGTTTAGTTCCATCAACATGCATTTATGTACCATAATGTGAAAGTCTTTCATTATATTTGGGTGCATTTCTTTTCCTTCAGCTTATATATATCGTGCCTCTCCAGATTTTGTGGGAGAAATATGTGCCACTACATATTGCTTCTGTTACCACATGCTGAATTTGATTGTATCAACAGTAAGAGCTCTCTAAATGGATTGGGAAGATATCTCTAAAAAGGACGAATGCGCATGCTTTGAGAGTAACCATGATGAAAGAATTAATGAGAGGAATAGCTTCTTTTTTTATTCTCTCTTCTTCAAGAGACTTTAAGGAGGCTACATACAATTTTTAAAAATTAACAATGGACAGCCTCATAGAGCATTTACAAAGATTAATAGAACCAATTTAAATAAAACACTTAGCATAAATTCAACAGATGTGAATAAAAACACCATCTATTTGTGTTATCCTTGGAAGAACCTCTTAATGAGATTGCAATTAAAGGGTATACAAGGTATGCTCAAAAGGAACACAGAAACAAACATACAAAAACATAATCTGAAGAAACAAAGGAAACATTAGAAACATACTCAAAAAACACTGATGTTCTGAGAGGTTTAATGAATTATCAATCCATATTGCCTACAAAGATTTAAGGTGGAATGGA